GGGGGTTTGCTTGCAAGCTACATTTTCCCTCGGTCTCTCCCACTTCCCGCCTCTCTCTCTGCCATGAAGTAAGAGCCGGGGTGGAAAGATGGAGAGGGGGGCTATTTTTAAGGGAGGGGGTGGCTAAAGAACCCAGGTGTCCGGGAGACTTGGGGGCTCTGGGGTGGGGTCTTACCTGGTCAGCTGGAGACAGACCCCGGGGTGGGCAAAGTTTGGGGCTCCGGCTAGCGCAGGTGAATCCAGTCCAACAGGGATGCTGGGGGAAATGGGAGGGACTGGGAGGCCAAGGTTGCCGGGGAGGATGCTCTGGTTGCCGGGGCCTGCCTCTCATCGCCCTGGCAACGCTGGACCAGGCCCCCCCCACCTCCCCCTTTACAGCCAAGATGGCAGCGATGGGGGGGAGGGCCAAGCCCCCCCCAGTGGGGGAAAGGGGCAGGGCCAAGGGGGTAAATCAGTGCTGAGGGGAGTGAATTAAGGGAGTGGGGATTGGGGAGAGCTAGGAAGAGGAGAGCACCCAGGCGTCTGGGGTCCCAGCTCCCCCTGCTCTAACCCTCCAACCCCCACTCCCCCCTGGTCAGAGAACCCCGCAGAACGGGCCCCCACCCCAGCTCCTCACCCCTCTCCGGGAGTGGGGAGAGAAGCCAGGCTTCCAGCCCCTCCCCGAAAGCAGGCTGTTAACCCCATCCCTGCCAGGGGATGAGTAAGGAGCCCCAATGCCTGAGTTCTCTCCCTGCTCTGGGAGAGCAGTGGGGGCCGGAGGTGAGAGCAGGGGGGCTGGGAGCCTGGTTGTCTGGGGTCTTTCGGCTGCTTTCTGACCTTCCCCCTCTCAGGCGTGGCCTGCAGCAAGTACCTCAGGTCTCAGTTCTGTCCAGGTGACAATCTGGGGGGCTAGGGCAGGGTGGCTTCCCCTCAGCTCCCCCACCCCTGGAGGTCCCTGTTATACCCAGTTCCTGGCGCCCTCCAGAGCCAGCCGCAGCCTGTTATACCCAGCCTGTGTCCACCCAAGCCAGCCGCAGCCTGTTGTACCCAGTTCCCAGCACCACCTAGAGCCAGCTGCACCTGTTATGCCCACCCCAGAGCCAGCCGCAGCCTGTTATACCCAGTCCCCATTGCCCCCCAGAGCCAGCTGCACCCCAGCACTGGTTGAGAGGTCCTGTATGTACCCAGGGTGAAGGGGATCTTCAACTTGGGCAGCAGGGGCTTGTGCTGCCCTCTGGTGGTGCCAGGAGGTATTGCAGGGCTGTGTGTCCTGTCCACCACACTGCAAAGAGGGGAAGGGAGATTCTCCATCTCCCTGGGCTCCCTGGGCAGCACCCGTTCCAGGCTGGCACCCTGGTGAGTGAAAGCAAGAGGCTCGTCACCCACAGAAGGTCATAGTGAGTGTGAAATGGGATCTGTCCAGCACCCGCCAAGCTCAGCCAGGGGGACTGTACAGTGCCCAGCACCTCCCGATCCTGACCTAGGGGGTCTGCAGAGCATCCAGTGCTCCCGATACTGGCCTAGGGGGTCTGTGCAACACCTGATGCCCCTGATCCCAGCCTGGGGGGCGGGGGGGGTCTGAACAGCACCTGGTGTCCCTGACTCCAGCCTATGGGGGTCTGTACAGCACCCAGCCCCCGCCCCAGTCCTCGCCCTCAGGGGTCCAGGCCATGCCCAGATGCCCCCTCTGCCTCTGCCCTTGAACCCACGCCAGCTCATTTGGCTTCCTTCTGCTTCTGAACTCCAGCCAACTCGTTAGCGGCCTGGTAGTTAACAGAGGAGGGCCAGGGAGGCGAGGGGGTCTCAGAGGCTGCTCTGTGGGCATTGTGCCTCAGGCTGGTGGGGGTTTGCGGGGGCAGCTGGATTACAGCCTGACAGCCCTGCCCCGCCTCCTCCATGACCCTGCCCCTTCTGCGTGTTAATGAGCTGCTGCTGTAATTCGGGGAGCCCCAATGTGGCTGGCTCTGGGGGGGACACTGGGGGCTTGGCATGACAGGCTGCAGCTGGCTCTGGGGTGGGCGCTGGGCACGACAGGCTGTGGCTGGCTTTGCGGTGGGCGCTGGCAGCTGGGTATAACAGGTCCCCTTACCCTCCCCACCACCCTCGCTCTCCTGGGTTTCCCCTGCTCCCTCCCTTCATGCCCTGACAATTTGCTGATGGCTTCACACCTGTTACCGGGGAGTTGCCCTGGCAACAGTGCATCGCATCACCTCAGAACCCCCCCACGTCACCGCAGTGATCCCAGATGCCCCCAGGCCCAGGCCTGGGTCCCAGCCCGGCTGCCTGGGTTCTCTCCAGCTGTGGGAGCTGGGGTGGGGGTAAAGCAGGAGGTGCTGGGAACCCAACACCTGGGTTCTCTCCAGCTCTGGGAGGGGAGGAGGGGTGGAGGGGTAGAGCAGAGCAGGCTGCCAACTCGGACGCCTGGGGTCTGTCGCATCTCTGGGACTGGAGTGGGGCCTGATGGACGATGCAGGGGGTGGGAACGTGGACACCTGGGTTCCTTCCCCACTGTCTCCTTTCCCTGCCTCAGTTTTCCCTGCTATCAGTGGAGGGAGGACATTGCTGCCTCACGCTCCACCCCTTATATGAATTGCCCCAGGTGCTCCTACTCACCCTGTAGGGCAGTATCACGGTTTGGGGGGGCAGGATCAGGGCTGGGGGGGGGGCAGCTACTGCTACTGCTATCCTCCCCCTGCCCCTTGCCTATGTATAAACAGCTTCAGCTCCACAGGGACCCCAGCAGTGGGGTCAGGCAGCCTGCCAGTGCTAAGTGCCTGTGATGGATGGGACACCGCGGTGCGGGGACGGGAACCCAGGTGTTCGGGCTCCCAGCTCCCCCCTTCCCCTCAGATCCCCTTCCAGAGTGGGGAGGGAAGCCAGAGTGGGCTCCCCACTCTGATACCTCTGATACCACTCCCAGATACCCCTGCTCTCGCACTCTGGCTCCCACTTCCCTCCCAGAGCTGGAGGGAACCCAGGTGCCCAAGCTGCCAGGCCTTGGTGGGGGGGTGCGGCAACATCCCCTGGTGCTCCGTATGTGCCCTCACTAACCTGCTCTCTCTCTCTGTCCCCACAGCCAACAGCACCCTGCTTGGCGGAGGTGGAGGTGAGTGTGATCCCTCATGCAAACCCTCGTGCAAGCCCTTGTTCAGGGGGTGAGGGGAGGGGCTAGGGGTGTCAGTGGAAGGGCAGGGTAAAGGCCCCCATGGGCATGCCAGTCCCCTGTGAACACATGCTTGCTCACACACATGCATGCAGAGACATGTGATCAGACACACTCGTGGTCTCACACTCACATGTGCAGACAGTCTGACCACCTCATGTATGTAATGTGGCTCATTGCCTTGCACACAGACATGCTCCCACAAAACCCAAGTGTCCGGGATGCATGCACACATGCACACACACAGCCATCTGAATACACACATCCACATACACACAGAAGCCAGGCATCCAGGACACACACACATATGCGTGAGTGCACACATAATCCAGGTGCCCCACACAGACACACAGAAACCAGGTATCCAGGGGACACACACATGGAATCCAGGCATCCCACACATACAGAACCTAGATGTCAAGGTACACACATTCACCCCACACACTCACACCACCAAACCCACACATCCAGGACACCCCCCCCCCAGGTGTCTGGGGGACACATACCTACAAAACCCAGGCATCCAGGACATGAGCTTACACAGAATCCAGGCATCCCACACCTACAGAACCTGAATGTCTGGGTACACACATACAACACACACACATACACACTAAACCCAGGCATCCAGGACAAACCCCCCCCGCCACAGAACCCAGGCGTCCAGGATGCACATGCACCCTCCTCCTCCCCGGGTACCCAGGTATGTCGTCGCCCCCCCCAACACAACCCAGCCATCTGGGCATACACATGATCACAGAATCCAGGCATCCAAGACACCCACATGCACAGAACCCAGGCGTCCAGGACACGCACACACGCACACGCACGCCCTGTGTTACTATAAAACACACCTACCTATCTTACCATCCATCCCTCTACCTGCCTATCAGGGGCTGGGGACACCTGGCGCTGGACTGCGCCTGCCTCTGGGGTGGGTGTTGGCGGCTGAGTGTAACAGATGCCGCTAGCTCTGGTGGGGGTGGGGGGCCACCTCAGGTCCATCACCACGCTGGAACCCAGGCATCCATATAAGCCACTGCACTCAGCGGAGGGGTTTTTTTTTGAAACTCTAATCAGCGAAGAGCCTGGCACTGAGGAAAAGAGGAGAGAAAATCAATTTTTCTCCTCACAAACGAGCACAGATCAGCTCGTAAAAGCTCGGTGACAGCCCAGGCTTAAAAGCCCTCGTGGGAGATTTATACCCCAGAGCATCTGGGCTGGGACCATTTTTTGCCCCTTTCCCTCCACTCCAGGGTTCAAAATATCCCCAGGACGGGATAGACCCGGCAGGTCACTAAAGGCTCAGAAATGGAGAGACTCGGGGAAGAGCCCAAGGGGTTTGAACATGGGGAATGGGATGAAAATAGGATCGTATTTTCAAAGGGGTTTAGACACTATCTTCAAAGGGGTTTGGATGCTATTTTCAATGGGGTTCAAACATGGGAAACATGATGCAAATGGGACAGTATTTCCAAAGGGGTTTAGACACTACTTTCAATGGATTTAGATGCAATTTTAAAGGGGTTTAGACACTTTTTCAAAAGGATTTATATGCTATTTTCAAAAGGGTTTGAACATGGAGAATGTGGTCAAAATTGGACTGTATTTTCAAAGGGGCTTAGATACTTTTTCAAAGGGGTTTGAACATGGGATGGGAATGGTTCGGTCTTTCCAAAGGGATTTAAACACTATTTTCAAAGAGATGTTAGATGCTATATTCTATGGGGTTTAGATGCTGTTTTCTAAGGGGTTTGGACACTGGGAATGGGGTTGAGATGAGATGGTATTTTCAAAGAGGTTTGGGAGGGTTTTTTTAAGGGGTTGAGATGAATTTTTCACAGAGATGTAGACACTTTTCAAAGCGGGGTTGGGTATTAGTCTCTAAGGGGTTGAGATGCTTTTTTCAAAGGAGTTTAGATGATATTTTCAAGGGGATTCAGGGCTGAAAGGGCTATGTAGCTGGCATCCTGCATAGGTTTGTACCCACTAAGGGTTTGCCCCCCCCCGACAAATAAAGGGCCTGCCTTTGAAAATGGCTCTGGGGATCTGCCTGCCTTTTGATCCCTGATCCCAGACTGGATCAAACACCAAGTGCCCCTGATCTCAGCGCCTGGTGCCTCCTGATCCCAGTCTGGGGGTCTGTGCAGTGCCCAGCACCCTCCCCCCAATCCCAGCCTGGGGGGTCTGTGCAGTGCCTGGCGCCCCCGATCTCGGCCTGGGGGTCTGTACAGTGCCCAGCACCCCCCCAATCCCAGCCTGGGGGGTCTGTGCAGTGCCCAGCATCCCCCCAATCCCAGCCTGGGGGTCTGTGCAGTGCCCAGCATCCCCCCAATCCCAGCCTGGGGGGTCTGTGCAGTGCCCAGCATCCCCCCAATCCCAGCCTGGGGGGTCTGTACAGTGCCCAGCACCCCCCCAATCCCAGCCTGGGGGGTCTGTGCAGTGCCCAGCATCCCCCCAATCCCAGCCTGGGGGGTCTGTACAGTGCCCAGCACCCCCCCAATCCCAGCCTGGGGGGTCTGTGCAGTGCCCAGCATCCCCCCAATCCCAGCCTGGGGGGTCTGTACAGTGCCCAGCACCCCCCCAATCCCAGCCTGGGGGTCTGTGCAGTGCCCAGCATCCCCCCAATCCCAGCCTGGGGGGTCTGTACAGTGCCCAGCACCCCCCCAATCCCAGCCTGGGGGTCTGTGCAGTGCCCAGCTGGGCAGGGCCCAGCCTCCCCCCAATCCCAGCCTGGGGGGTCTGTGCAGTGCCCAGCATCCCCCCAATCCCAGCCTGGGGGTCTGTGCAGTGCCCAGCACCCCCCCAATCCCAGCCTGGGGGTCTGTGCAGTGCCCGGCGCTCCTGATCTCGGCCTGGGGGGTCCGTGCAGCGTCTGTCCATAGTTTGGTCCGTCCCCCGCGCCGGGCGGTGATGGATGGGGTGTTTTCCCTGCGAAGGCCACGGCGGGCAAACGCGGCGCTGAGATTTATGGCACTTAGTAAGTGCATTAGCACGATCCCCCCCCAGCCCCCCCAGCCCCCGCTCGTTAATTTGATTGCAAAACAACTCTTAAGGCTGTGAAACGCCAGCGTTGGCTTCATTGTCTTCCACACAAGGACATGCTGAGGGGGGGCAGGATTCGGGGGGGGGAGAGGACCATCTTACTCTGCTCTGGGGTAAATCAGGTGTGTTGGAAGCCCCCCGGAGAGGCAAATGCACTGTTTTGGAGGGAAGATGGGTCCTGCCTGTTCACCAGTGTGTGCGAATGGCGCACGAGGAGCTTGCATGGGGTTGCTCACACGTCGGGGGCAATGGTGATAGATGCGTGCCCCACAACCCGCCCCCACTCCTGCAGCACCCCCTCACGTGGGGGCCATGTTGCCCCCTCCCTCACTCTTGTCCCCCTCCTCAGAGGTGGCCATGTTGCCCCCTCACAAGGCAGCTATCTTGTTCCCCTCAGGCGCAATCATGTTGCCCCCCCTTAGCTGTAGCCATGTTGCCCCGTCGTGAGGCAGCCATGTTTCCCTTTCCTTGAGCCGCCACGTTGACCTCTCATAAGGCGGCCGTGTTTCTCACTCATTGGCAGCCATGTTGCCCCCTCACAGCGCTACCATGTTCCCCCGCAACCCTCACCCACGTCCCCCTCCTCAGGGGCAGCCATGTTACCCCTCCATGAGGCAGCCACGTTGACCTCTCTCAAGGCAGCCATGTTTCTCCCTCGGGGGCAGCCATGTTGCCCCCTTCATGGGGCAGCCATGTTGCCCTCCTCGGTGGAAGCCACATTGTACCCCTCACAAGGCAGCCACGCTTCCCCCTCCTTGTGGTAGCCAGGTTGCCTCCTCGCCAGGCATCCATGTTGCCCCCCTCAGGGCGGTTACATTTCTGCCTCTTTGGTGGCCGTTGCCTCCTCACAAGGCAGCCGTATCGCCCCTCTCAGGGCAGCCATGCTGCCCCCCTCACAACGTGCCATGTTCCTCCCCTCAGAGCGGGCCACCTTGCCCCCTCATGAGGCGGCCGCGTTGCCTCCTCCCGAGGCAGCCACATTCCCCCCTCGGGCAGCCATATTGCCTCCTCTAGGAACAGCCATACTGCCCCCTCCCGAGGCGGCCATGTTTTTCCCCTGAGGGTTGGCCATCTTGTCTTCTCCACCCCTCTGCCTCCCGCTCCATCCCAAGACTCCAGCTGCTGGGGATTAGCAGCGATTAGCAGCCATCCCCCCCGCAGCCAGCCTAGGAGTTTAATGAACCTCTGCTAAGCCGGCTGCCCTGAGGGCGGCCGAGGCTGGTTGGGATTATCCTTGAGGATTGCAGGGAGGACCCAGGCGTGCGGCCTCTACCCCCGCTCAGCCCCCACGTCCTCCCCGAGCGCCGGCCCTCCGGCCCCTGCCCCCAGCCCGGACCCCCGCCTCCCAGAGCTGCGGAGACCCCCGGCCTCCCCCGGCCTCTCGATTCCCACCATCCCCATTTCCCCCCTTGTAATCTTGTACTGGTTTCACTGAGATTAGCAGGGCCTGGTAATTGCTTTCCCTTCCTGATTAATACCAAAGCCTCCAGCCTGTCCACAGGGAAACCAGCCAGAAATGACCCCCCTCCCGGGGTGCGGGGGCATATGTACATAACCCCGTCACCCCACCCCGATTTACATACAAGAGCAATTAATTTGACGACAGTCGCTGTGATTGGAAAAGGAAACGATGGCCGTTGAGGCAAAGCGGAGAAGAGGGAAAGGCCTGAAATCGGCCAGGGAACCTGCAAGCCTGTTTCCTCGAGCAATGGGAAGTTAATTCATTAATTAATCCACTGATTAATTAATTCCAGGCCCGCCTGAAATGTTCATTGAGAAATGGAGGGGGAGCGAGTGAGGGCAGGCGGGAGGGAGTTAGTGCCAGGCCGGCCGGGGGGGTCACTGAGAAATGGGGAGTTGGTTGTTAGCGCCGGTTCAGGACTCGCCGTTTGGACGACGCAGAACGTGCACACGCGCCCGGAGCCCAGCCCGTGCCAGCTCTGCCTCCAGCATCTCATCGGGAGATTAGACATGTGTGTGTGTCTTAGTTAATTAGTTACTTAGTTTCAGGTCTTGCCTCAAAAGTTTGGGGAAGTTCATTACTTAGCTGGTTAGTGGCTTAGCTAGTTGCTTGCTTGGTTCGTTGCTTGGCTGATTTCAGGTCGGCCTCAACAGTGTCGCTGGGAAGCGTGTTCATTAGTTCGTTAGCTGCCTGGCTAATTTCAGCCCTGCCTGAAAACGTTCAATTGAGAAATGGGAAGTTTGCTTGTTATGAATAGGGAGGAAGGAAGGAAGGATCAGGCCGAGTCCCCTGTACCCCAGGCCACCCCGTGTTGCCAGCAGACGCCGGTGCTTTGGGTTCGATGCAAACCAAAAAGGCCTCGAGTAGCTCAGTGCAGCGAGGCACCGCGGGCAGGGTCCCCGGACTCCCCGGTTCCCTCCGGCCCCGGGAGCGGGGTGGGGCTGAGGTGCAAGAGCGAGGGAGTGGGGGCCCGGACGCCTGGGTCCTGCTCTGTTCCCCCACCACTGGGCTGGGGGACTCTCGGCCCCGCTGGCCCTGGGCCCGGGCACTGCCAGCGCGGGGATGATTCATGGGTGATGAAAAACAAACATGGGGGGGGCCGGCTGCCAGGAGCCCAGACGCCCTGGGTTCTCCTCCCGCCCCGACTCCATTAGGGCCTGGTGATGGATGGGAGGCCGTGCCTGGCGCAGGGCCAGCAGGAGCGGCTGCCAGTAGGGAGGGCTGGGGCAGAGGAGGGCTGTGGGACACCGGAGTGTACTCGCGTGTCCCGGACACTTGGGCTCTGTGCACACGTGCGTGTGTGTCCTGGATACCTTTGTTCGGGGGGGCAGCGCCTGGGTTCTTTGGGAGGGGAGTGGGGTCTGGGGTTCAGAGCAGGGTGCCTGGGAGTTGGGACCCCTGGGTTCCCTTGCGGGGGAGGGGGTTCTGGGCCTCAGGGGCCTGGGTCCCCTGGGAGGCAGGTGGCACCAGGTTAACCCTTTCCCCTTCTGCCCGCAGTGGACGGCTGCATTCACCGAGCTGCCGGGGAGCTGCTGAAGGAAGAGTGTCGCTCGCTGAGCGGGTGCGAGACCGGCGAGGCCAAGATCACGTGTGGCTACCGCCTGCCAGCGCTGTGTGAGTGCAGGGGACAGTGCGCGTGCACGGGGTGCAGTGTGCATGCACAGGGGGGCAGTGTGACTGCTCATAGGGCAGTGAGACTGCACGGGGGGCATTGTGCATGCATGGGGGGCACACTGCTTGTGTGACATGCTACTTGTGTGATGCACTGCTTGTGCAACATGCTGGTTCTGTGATGCTGCTTGTGCAACAGCTCGTGCGGCGCCTCTTGTGCTGGGATGTGGGGAGCCTTGGCTCTGATGCTTCTTCCCTGCCTGGGGCCCTGGGCTGGAATCATTGAGTTTTCCCCTGCCTCAGTTTCCCCAACTGTGAATTGGGGGAAGGGGGGGCTCTGAGGGGGTGTTGGACCGTGCTAGGACTCGGGAGGAGCACCCAGAGGAGAACAAGGAGAAAGTGAGTGTGTGAGCATGTGTACAAGGGACTGTGAGGGGACATATGAGCGTGAGCAGACACAAGGGACACAGATAAGTGGACATGTGAGAGTCCACATGAGTGCGAGAAGGTGTGTAAGGTACCATGTGAGTGGGTGTGCTAGGGACCATGCAAAGTGTGCAAGGGATCATGAGAGTGTGAGCAGTGGACAAGGCATTATGTGATTGCGAGCAGGCATGTGAGACCATGAAAGTGTGAGAACGCATACTAGGGTTCATGTGTGAGCAGGTGTGCAAAGGACCACATGAACGTGAGTGGACATGTGAAGGACCACATGAGTATGAACAGGTGTGCAAGGTGTACAAGTGTGAGTGGGCCTGCTAGGGAGTGTGAGCATGAGGAGGTGGATAAGGGATGGTGTGAGTGTGAACAGGTATGTCAAGGACTGCAGGAATGTGAGGGAGTATGTGAGTGCAAGTGGGTGTTTGGAGGACCATGTGAGTGAACAGGTGTGCAAGGAAGCATGTGAGTGTGAGCAGCAGTATAAGGGACCATATGAGAGCAGGCGTATGAGGGACTATGTGAGAGCAGGCAGGCGAGGGACCACATGTTAGCAGGTTTGCAAGGGCCCATATGATAGTGCACAGGTGTGTGAAGGACCACATGAATGTGCACAGGTGTGCAAGGGGGTCACATGAGTGTGCATAGGTGTGAGGGGTCACTTGAGTGTACACAGGCATGTGAGGGCCTCATGAGTGTGACAGGGCTTTCCTGGAGCCCCTTCAGCAAAGGGAGCAGCAGGGGGCAGAGCTGATCCCTGCCAGCCCAGCCCCCTCGTGCAAATCCCTTGCACGAGTGCAAAGCAAGTGTGAGCCCATGGGGGCTAGAGCCAGAGAGGGGACGGGAGTTTCCCCAGCCTTGGGCCAGGCAGCTGCCATGTGGCACATGTGTGCACAACCATGTGCACATGTGTAACACAGGCAGTGCAGTGCATACTCAACACACGTGCACATAAGCCTGATCCAGGAAGAGCGCACACCAACTGCTGAAGCTTCCTTAGCCTGACAAAGGGTTTTTGAACCCGAAAGCTTGCTTAATAACTAGTCTCCAACCATTTGGGTTGGTCTCATAAAAGATATCAGATTCACCCAAGGAACCTTGTCTGCCTATGTCCTTAGACCAACACGGCTACAACCTAAACCCCTGATACAGGAGCACACTCAGGTCCATGTGCACATGTGCACACACTCACAGCCTCCCTGCTCTCACTCCCTAGGCCCTACTTCCCCCCCCAGAGCTGGAGAGAACCCAGGCGTCTGGGCTCCAGGCTCTAAAATGGGTCCTGTCTGTGTTTGCGTGTGCAGTGTGCCAGTGACACCTGGTGGCAGCTTGGTGCCCGGCTGAGTGTGTGCGTGTGCGTGTGCGTGCGCGTGTGCATGCATATGAAATGCCTGGAATGCGTGTGTGTGTGTGTGTGTGTGTGTGTGTGTGTGAGGGAGAGAGAGAGAGAGAGAGAGGGAGAAAGACGTCTGGGATCTGTGTGTGCGTGTGTGTGTGTGTGCGCGCGCGCGTGCACGTTTGTGTGAGACAACAGGGTTGTGTGTGTGTCTGTGTGTGTACAGTGATGTGAGGCCATGCACAGTCTTAGATGAACACCCACACACACACACACACACCCACACCCACCCACACCCACCCACCCACACCCCCACACGCGTGCATACATGCTTGTGTACAATAGTCTCAACCAGGTCCTGGGGCAAGCTTTGGTAGTGGAGGGTCAAGGCTGGGCCTGGACACCTGACTTCTTTGGGGGGGGCTGGGCTGGACACCTGGGTTTTCTGGGGCTGGATGGGGGCGCTGGGCACTTGGGTTCTCTGGGGCTGGCCCGGACACCTGGTTTCTCTGGGGCTGGATGGGGGGGCTGTCCCGGACTCCTGGGTTCTCACGCCCACCCATCCCCCCAGGGGTGATCCACACTGTGGGACCTGTTTGCCAGGGTCCCCCCGGGCCCACACAGGAGGCCGCGCTGCGGAGCTGCTACAGTAACAGCCTGCACGTTGCGCAGGATGCGCAGCTGCACTCTGTGGTAAAGGGCAGGGACAGGTGGGGGCATTGAGGGTAGAGCCTGGGTGGGGCTAGGTGGTGGGTGGAGCTTCAGATAGGGGGCAGGGCATTTGGGACTTCCTGGGAGGGGGTGTGGCCTGTGAGGGTGGGGCCCTGTGGTAGGCCTTGGGGTGGGGCTTCCCAGGCAGAGTCTCCTGGGAGGGGGAGGGGGCTTCTGTGGGTGTGGTCTCATGGAGAGGTGGGTGTGGCTTCCTGGGGGCAGGGTGCGGGGAGCAGCTGCCCCTTCTGACCCATGTCTGTCCCTCCAGGCCTTCCCCTGCATCTCCACTGGGGTCTTCGGTGAGTGTTGGGGCGGGGCCTGGGGCAGGGCCTGGGGGGCGGGGCCCCTGGCTCCTCCCACTTGTCTGACCTCTGTCCTCTTCCTGCTCCAGGCTACCCCAGCGAGGCCGCAGCTGAGGTGGCACTGGGCACGCTACGGGAGTGGCTGCAGGAGCACAAGGACAAGGTGAGTGTATGAGGGGCACATGTGTGAGCACAGACCTAGTGAGCGTGAGCAGGCATGCAAGGGGCATGGGGGGTGAGCATGGACCTGTGAGTGTGAGCAGGCGTGCAAGAGGCACATAGAGTGAGCATGGACCCTGTGGGTGTGAGGAGACATGCAAGGCACAGGGCATGAGCATGGACCCCAAGTGTAAGCAGGCATCCAAGAGGCATGGGGTGTGAGCATGTACCCCGTGAGTGTAAGCAGACATGCAAGTGGCATGGAGGGTTGAGCATGGACACTGCGAGTGTGAGCAAGCATGCAAGAGGCACGGGGAGTGAGCCCATGTTTACTCCCCGTGCTTCTAGCACGCCTGCTCAGAGACCCTGCGAGTGTGAGGAGGCGTGCAAGAGGAACAGGAGTGAGCATGGACCCCTGCAAGTGTGAGCAGGCATGCACACGACATGGGGGTTGATCATGGACCCCGTGAATGTGAGCGGGCTTACAAGGGCCCAAGTAGGCCTGTGCCGGTGTGTGAGCTAGGCCACCGAGGTCACACGAAGGGCGTGGACGTGGGTGCAGGGACATGGGCGTGCAAGGTGCATGGGCCTGGGTACACATGGGGGCCGTGGCACAGGCTTTCACTCTCCTGGACGCCTGGGTCCCGCAGGTGGAGCGCCTGGTGCTGTGCGTGTTCCTGGAGAAGGACGAGGCCATTTACAAGGACCCGGTGTGTGAGCTAGGCCACCGAGGTCACACGAAGGGCGTGGACGTGGGTGCAGGGACATGGGCGTGCAAGGTGCATGGGCCTGGGTACACATGGGGGCCGTGGCACAGGCTTTCACTCTCCTGGACGCCTGGGTCCCGCAGGTGGAGCGCCTGGTGCTGTGCGTGTTCCTGGAGAAGGACGAGGCCATTTACAAGGACAAGCTGCCGCTCTACTTCCCCGTT